TGGGGGTGGCCTGCTGCTCCCCACTCTGGGTGAACCACCAGCGCACCCCATTCCTTCTCCTCCATGCTGGCGGAGGGCGCAGCATCCCTGTGGGACCGCCGGCGTGTCTCAGCAGGGTGTTCTCCCTCCTCTAAAATGCTTGTTAGGGGGACTTCCTCCTGCAACATCTCATCTTGCTTCTGCCCGTCCTGGCATGCCGCTGCAGGGTGCTCTGGGTGCTCCCTGCCCGCAGGCTGCCTGAACTGCCCCTCCAGAGGGACCAGCAAAACGCAGTGAGGCCAGCTGGCAAACTGAAATGAAGTCTCCTGGAATAACCTCCTGGCAGCAAGTCTGAATGGCTGGTGAGGAGGGAAGGCAGCCAAAGCTCGTTTCACGATCTGAGGGCTGCAGTAACCCCCCTCCAAGCTCCACCGCCAGTGGGGAGCCAGGACTGTTTTGGAGATGTTGGGTGGACAAATTCTTTAAGCCCAGGACCACAGCCACAGTGGGTTTTGCTGTGCCCCTTGCTGTGTTTGCAGCTCCCATGTGAATTAAGCTGAGGACTAAAAATGCTGCATGCTTGGTTGCCATCCAGGTCTTAATCCCGTGGCCCGGGGGCTGCTATTCACAGAGCAACAGGTTTGCAAGCAACTGCACGCTGCTGGGATGGGGACCTGTGGGGCTGGCCGTCCGCACACCTTGCAGTGGCACCCACAGGTGTCAGAGGGACGTGGTGTTGCAGGGTTTGCAGACAGCGGGCTGGGTGGCTCCTGGCGTGCCTGTGTCTGCATGGTACCAGCTGGGCGGCAGCCTGTCGACGCCTGTTTTTTGGGAGGGCTCTGACCTGCCAACTGCTTTCCCATCAGCTCACCGACAGCTGGAATTTGGCAGGAATTGGGGGTGGGGGGCGTGTGTGCCCATGGCCTCTTACCTGGCTCTTTGTGTGCTGCTGACCTTGTCCTGGCTGTGCTTGGCTTTTCTGCAGCTGGAAAAGCCTGCTGGGACTGTATTCACCCTTGCCAGGCTCCAGGTTGGCTGCTTTCTGTGCCAAATGCCTGGGAGCCTGATTTGGGGTGGTCCTGGGCTGCTCTGCACAGCCTTGTACCTCCCTTTCCCAGCACCCATGGTGCAGGCAGATGATGGAGACCTTGCTCATGCAGAGCATGGGACAAGACCTGGGAGCAGATGGGGTGTTTTGGGAGCCATTTAAAACCCGAGGGGTGCTTTGGAGGGAGGGAAGGTACAAGCTGACCCACAGGAGGAGGCCAAGCGCACCGTAAGGACGTCTGTACTCCTCTGAGGCCAGTGACGAGGTGTGGGCTGCTGGGGGAGGACGACCTGCGCCACTTCATTCCCATTTCACGGCAGCCCTCAACTCGCCGCAGGCATACCTGGTCCTTCGCAGACCATTTGCAGCCCCTGCCGAAGCCTCAGGCTTTGCATGCCACAGAGCTGGGTGCCATGTTGCCCAGGCGCTGGAGGAAGTGCTCGTTTAGTTCGCTGTGATATTTCTGGCTGTGGTGTTATTTAGGAAATAGAATTTTTCTTTACATTTTGAACATTACAGCCCAGCTTTAAGGAAAAACTCCATCTTGAGAGCCTCAGACACAAGTGGTCTTGCCTGTGCCAGCCTCCTCTCAGCTCTCCCCACGCCTGCTGGGGAAGGGATGGTTGCCAGCGACTGGGGAATACAGATCTGGCAGGGAGCTGTGCCGCTCCCGTGGGAATCTTTGTCAGGTCTGGTTTTATCCTGTCGACAAAACTCAGCTGGTGGCTGCTGGGTGTTGTGTGCAACCCCACAGCCCAGGAAAAGCTGATCCCGTGGCACAAGCTTGACACAGCTGGACTGCCAGCATGGTGCACCTGCCGCTCAGCTCCTCGGCATTAACGAACGTGCCGGGTTGGACCCTGCCGCCCACCAATGATGGGAAAGGCTCGCATGCCGATGCTGTGAATAATGTGTGGGCTGGCCCCTGCACCATGGGCCGCTGGCCAAGGACAAGGGCACTTTGTGAAGCACCTGGGTGACCGACACTGAGGCATCCCCTTTGCGGGGGGGTCCCCGCTGGGGTCCCTGCCTCCTCAGGCAGCTCCAGCTCCAGGGCACATTGTCTGTGATCCCTAGAACGGGGATCGGTCACGGAAAGCTGTTCTGCATCTTGAGGAGTCCATCCTGGCTTGACTCTCTGTGCCTCAGTTTCCCCATCTGGTTCCTGAGTCCTTGCCTGGGTAACAGATTGTGGGTGATGAGGTGCAGGCTTGTTACCACCTCGAGGAACAGAGCATCGGTGTATTTTCCTAACGGACCTGGAAGGAAAACAGAGATAAAAGCCCCAGGATCTCCCTGTTTCCGGTGTTTGTTTGATGCGTCAGTGCATCTTCCCTTCTCATCAGGAAAAACGTCATGTCCAAAAGCCATGTGCTACCTCTAAAAGCTTAAATACCTGCTACCAAGTCACCCAGGGACCAGTAAGGTGATAGTAAACACCAGGCTTTTTTTTTGGTGGGTTTTTTAGGGTTTTTTTTCCCATTTGCCTCCACGTTTAGAGGCTGCAGTATTGTTCCTTGACTTTGTTTTCGGAGACCAATGTGTTCTTTCAATGGGAGGACACAATGTGATGGCTGGGGCTGAGCTTCCCTCCATGCTGGTGGCAAGGGAGCCTGGTCCTGACTGCGTAGCCCTGGCGGTGTCTCCACCACCTCTTTTTACATCATCTGACTGATTTTGGGGGCAAACCAGAAGTTTTTCTATGTGTTACTGTTCTTGGAGGAGCTCCGGCTGGGGCAGCGGGTAAAGCCATCCTGCCTTGGGGATGATGGTGTGGAGGTAGGGCTGGTGCTGAAGGATGTCTCTGCTTGGTCAATGGGATAGCGCGGGGCTTTTGAAGTTTGGTGACACTGAGGACATGCTCTGGTGGCAGTGGGGAAGCATGGCTGCGCATTCCCACTGCCACCCAGGGATGGGAAGATGACGGGGCAGGATCCAGCCTCGGCGTGGGCTTGGAGCATCCGGCTCCCTCCAGCACTGCTTATCGCTGGCACGGATGGGAGCTGTGTTTTCCCACTGTGAAACCTTTTTAGGGGATTTTCTCTCGCTATTGTTCAGCTCAGGAAACAGCAATCGGTGTCAGGGCGAGCGGGACCATATAGGTCTTGGAGGGGAAATACCAGCTCCCCCACCCACATCCCTGGAGGGATTTCTGGTCTCAGTTGACTAACGGCTGAAAGGGGCTGATCCTGTCCTCTGACCACCCCAGTAGAATCCTCAAGATGCCAGCACAGCAGGATGGGCTGAAGCCTCGTTGGGATTCATCATTCTCCTTCTGGAGGGGATGCTTTCCCAGCATGCCAGCTGTGTGCTGCAGTTGGCATTCATGTGCTGCACTATTGCTTTTAAGCCATGCAGGTGTTTCCCATCGCCACTGGCATTTTGCCGCCCCGGATCCGTGCTTTTTGGATCCACATGTGTGATTTCCAAGTGTGCGGCAAGGCACCAGAATGCCAGCCCCATCCACATCCAGCTACTGCTGCCAAATCATGCCTGTGCTGTACCCTCCCAGCCCACACCGGGAAACCTCGTTAGTGCCACAGTCAATTATACCCATGGCAGCAGGTTAATTAACAACCCAAAGCCCCCGTCTTCTGGTGATAAACTGCTGCAAGAAGCAGACAGGGAGGGACGGCAAGTGAGCTGTGCCTGCGGTGACACGCCGGCACAGGATATGCCCTGGATCCATGCTGGCCAGAGAAACCGCTGGGAGAAGCCCATGCTGGTGGGAGAAACCTGCTAACAGGGACACTGAATTTCAAGCAAGCAGTTTTCCCTCAACCTTCCCATCTGACGACCCTTGGGTGCCTGGGAGAGCTCACCAGCCTTTGCAGGTGATGCTGGTGGGTGCCCTGGCACCCGCTTGCAGCAAATGAAACAGGATGTGGCCACTCAGTGGGTTTTGAGAAAGATGCTTTGAGAGTGGCACAGGAGCAGGATGCAGTGGTGGCAAACCACGTGCCGGTTTGGCTTTGGGCATTGGCGAGTGTTCAGCTCTCCTGGCTGGTCCAGCAGACCGATGCTGTCCTGCCCTGGGGGGGCTTCTGCTGGTTACCGGACCCTGGCAGGACAGGTCCCACCAGCCTCAGCCCATCACTGGGGTGACAGCAGGGTGAGGAGGAGGCGAAGCAGCACCTCAGAGGCAACTTGTGGCATGGGGAAGGCAGAAAGCATGATGGAAAGAGCTGTGGGTGTGAAGGCTGTGGCTGGGTGGAGTATGTGGGTGCAGAAGCACCCTAGGGTTCTCAGCGCTGGCCTTGGTGAAAGTCACAGCAGCCCTGGCCACATATAAAGACAAAGGAAAGGGTGGTGGAGCAGCATGCTGGATGAAGGGATGGAGAAAGGGGATGCAGAAGTTGTTGCCTGGCTGGTCGTGAGGGGCAGAAGGGGTTTTGTCAGCTGCAGTTGCTCCACTGGCATCCCCAGGGAGAGCCTGGGACAGCCCATTTCTGCCAGGCTGAAATGACAGAGAGGTTTGCAACGTGCCTGGCTCCTTGGCTAATCTGCAGAAGCTGAAAGCACCCAAGAATATAATTTTAGGGCTGGTGAATTAGGAAACCACTGTTTCCTTCTGTTCCTATCGCTCATGCTAAGAAGTCAAGGCCCGAACCAAGATGTGAAGCAGGAAGTGGAAGAGGGAACCCCTCCCATGTCAAATTGTTGGTGGTTGGCGCCCATGCTGGGGTGGTGGGCACTCTTTCTGTGCTGAGAGCCCAGGGACCTGGCTGCCAGCCTCCCCCATCTTTCCAACCCCACAGCTGGGTGGGATGCCCAGTGCTCGTGGCTCCTCCTGGTGGCAGAGGCACTGGGGAGCTGGCCGTGACACTGGCCAGTGTCCTACCAGCACAGACTTTGCTCTCCACCGGCTGACCCCATGGTATGGGTGATACCCAAATACTTATGTGGCCCCTTTCCTTTGTACCCTTCCAGGCTCTGCTTTCTCCTTGGAGGCCAAGCCAGAGAGCCGCCTGGGATGAAGGTCCTCCTTCTGCTCCTTCTCTTCCCTCTCCAAGGTAGAATGCCCCAACTACATCCTGCCCCGGGACAGTGAGCCAGGTTTGGGCTGCTGGAAGTAACTGGCAGCCCCCCAAAATTGACTAGGGGGCACTGAGGAGTGTTTGCAGCTGTGGCTTCCACAGAGGTGAAACGTCTTGTGGGCTGACATGTCTCTGGGGCAGGATGGGACCTTTCCAGGGAAAGGAGATGGTCTCTATCCATCCCTTCTGGGAATGGAGAGGTCCTCTGTCAGTCTCTGCCAATGTGGGTGGTGGCACCTGGGAGAGGGTGCCCCCAAGAGATGGCGGAGGTCCTTCTGCCCCAGGAGCTCTGGCGAATCCTCCTAGCATGGCTGTGGGGACACTGGGGAGATGGCCTCTCTTAAACAGCCTGCCCAGGCAGAGAGCCTGGTGTGCCATGCATGATGGCTGATGCGGGGATGCAGTGTTTGCCAGGGGCAGCTGCCCCTCCGCCTAAACCAATGTCTCTGTGTGTTTGTGCAATGCAGGGGTGGGAGCCACTAGCCACCGGGAAGAGGACTTCCGCTTCTGTGGTGACCGAAACCAGACCCAGAAGAGCTCCGTCATCTATGAGCATGGCCCTGCCAGCATCTCCATCGAGAACACGGCCCAGGCACTGATAATAAAAAGGCCCTTTTTGCTAAACAGGAGAAACTTTTACAACAAGTACACCTTGCCCCCCACTTTGGGCAGGTACCGCTTCTGTGTCTACTGGTTCAAGGCCAATGAGACCCTGAAGTTGGTGTATGGGAAGCAGAGCTTCATCCTGGGTGGGGACCCATCCAGCAGCATCAGCTGGGGGAAGGAGAGTCAGAAGACTAAAAGAAACAGCACCTTCATCTTCAATGCGTCCTGCATCTCGAAGGATGGGAAGAACACCTCCCTTGACAATGCATCCGAATACTTCTTCCCCGGTAAATGCAAAGCAATGTTATTTTAATGGAATAAAGGGTTCATTTCATCCCCAGCCCATTCTCTAGCCATCAGCAGAGCATTGGTGGTGTCCCAGTATGTGCTACAGTATGATGATATGAAGACACAGCTGAAGGGTGATGGAAGGGGACATAGTTTGCTTGAAGGAGCACAGAGGCAGCCCCTGGTACCCAGGTTCCCTAGAGATGAAGATGGAGATTTTCAACAGTGTTTTGCCCCTTAAAATCCTGGGAAATTGTGTGCTTTGCAGAGGTCTCCAAGGGTCCTGTCTGCAATGCTAGGCACCTAGCTAGGCTGGTCCTGATGGCCTTGGTGGGAGCCAAGCTCTGGGTGGCAGCATGAGCCCTCTGGGTTGGGGTCTCCATCAGCTCCCTGGGCTTGGGGTCGCCCTGAAGCCCTCTGCTTTCTTCTCCCACTGGGGCTGTGCCCGGTTGGTTCGGGGCATGGGGAAGCTGGCTCTGTCCATGCATTTTATGGCATTTCTTGTTGTGTGTCTGGGAGCAAGACGTGGAGGAGCAGCTCGCCACCTTGGACAGCCTCATCGCCCGGCCCCCGGCACTGGCTGCAGGAGCCACAAAGCAGCAGATACTTCGGTGGTGAGTTCCCAGCTCGTGCCGTTCCCACCACCAATGCGGTGCCAGCTGCATCCCACTCAGTGCGCCTCTTCCCTGGCAGCGAGCTCGGGCACCTGGAGAAGACACTGGCCAAGGTGGAACTCGAAGGGCAGAACCAGACCTTTGGGAATGCCACCGTGCGTGTGACCATCCTGAGGGTCCAGCCCACTCAGGCTCCTCTGCACCTGGCCTTTGCTTCTCAAAGAGAGGTATGTCCTGGGCAGCGTGTCCTGATGGTCTTGGCCCACCAGCATCCTCTCTCAACCTCTCCTGACAAGTGTCTCCTTGCAGGAGGTTGGAGAGGTCCATGGGTTTACGGTGGACCTGCCGAGCAGCCTGTTTGTGACAGCGAAGGAGAGGGAAAAGGTGGTGGAGCACAGGGTGTTCCTCATAGACATCGACAACCAGACCATGTTCCAGGTAATGCCCATGCACATGGCATGGTGGGGTGTCCCCGCTGTGCTGGGGGCTCTGGTGGCATAGGGCAGCAAGGATGCCACCCAGAGCAGGGTGCTGATACTTGCTTGGAGAAGATGCTTCAAAGATAAGCTAGAAGCTTGATGGGGAAAGAGGCACTGGACCTCCTTGCACACTCTCACCCACTTCACACCCAGCAGCTCTTCCTTCCTATACTCCCACTGCATCTTCTTCTCTGACAGGATGAAAACAGCAGCCACATCCTGGGTGACAAGGTGATTGGCATCTCCCTGGTGGACACGGTGGTGGCCAACCTCTCCGACCCAGTGGTCCTCACTTTCTTCCACAACCAACTGCCGGTAGGTGGGGAAAGAGCCTCATCAAACCTCATCCCACCAGGAATGGAGGGACAAGAAAGGCTCAGGGCCTGCCAGCTTAGAGAGTGGTCACAATCCAGCAGGTCCATGCCCTTGGCCTGCCTGTACAGGGTCTGCTATGTCTTCTGGGGCTGACTCAGATCACGGCTCCACTGTGTGCACCGGTGGTGGCGCTGCCTGCACAGGAGATGCTGCTTTGCAGCTGTGTCACCTCCAGTCATGCTGCTCAAAGCTGAACCCCTTATTTTAAAAAGGGGACCTGGGAGGATGTATCTGCTCTTCAAGCTGCCAAGAGAACGGTCTCCGCCTGGAGCCCACTCCCATGATATGGGACAGTTTGTCTCCTGAGACCTTCTTGCCTCCTGCCCCATGTTCTCCCCTATCAAATGTGCTGGGCGGTCAGCAAACCCACAGCAGCACCCTGATCAGGGCCCGTGGTTTTTGTCATTGCAGAAGAACGTGATCCCGCTCTGCGTCTTCTGGCAGGAGGATACCACTGGTAAGTGCTCCCACACTTGGGTGTGAAGCCAGGTGCTGCCTTTGCTCCTTTTGCAGGGTACCACAGACCCACTGGTAGGGGTAAAAGTCGCTCTGCACCTCCCTTCCTCTCTCCAGCTCCATAAACCTTTCCCATGGGGTGGATTTCAGGTTTTTCCCTTCAGTTTTCTGCCTCCCTAGGGATGGGTCCTGATGCTCAGGGTGCTATCTGAGTGTGTGTGCTTGGCATGGGACAAGCTAGGACCCCCACTTTTGTCCCTCTCCCTGCCATGGACACGTTGCCCTGAAGATGCACAAACTCAGAGAGGATGTTCCTGCTGCTCACCAGACGCTCTCCCTTTCTCTTGCACAGCCAGTTCTGGGAGCTGGGACAGCTACGGTTGTACAACAGTGATGGGCGGCAGCCAGACAGACTGCAGATGCAACCACCTCACCTACTTTGCCGTGCTGATGGTGGGTAGCACCTTCCCACAGCTCTCTACATCGTTCCCACCAACTGTTCTTCCTCACCATCTCTCACTCCTCCTTCTCCTCAGATATCCTCCCCGGAGATCACTTACATACACAGGGATTACCTGAGTATCATAACCTACATCGGCTGCCTGATCTCAGCTTTGGCATCCATTTGCACCATCTTCTTCCTCTACTTCAGGTGCAGTCTGACAGGTCACCGCATGCTCCCTGTCTGTGTCCTGTACATTGCCACTACACATGGGTGGGTGCAAGCTCTCCAAATGCAGTTGGTGGCCTGGCTAGAAGCATGACAAAGGAGTCATGCTTGAAGAAAGTAGAGTTCTCCTCACCAGAAACCACCCCCTTGGTCAGGTCTCCTGCAGTGCACTTGAAAACACTGGCTGTTTTCCATGATTTTGGAAAATCGGCTTGGTGGTTGTTATGGATCCGGCGAGCAGAAGCCTGCAAATTTCTTTTCAAGGGCCCGGTGGAGAACACGAGTGTCTTCTTCTGAGTCATGTCACTGATCCTATGTGGATGATTCAGAGCTGAAATGATGTCACTCCCTAACCCCCATGGCCTAGACCTGAAATGCAGGGTCATGTGCAAGGACCTGTGCACATGTAACGGGTGGTCCCACCCATGGGGCTAGGCTTTGAGGATCTCCTGGCTCTTCTGGCTGGGGCAAGCTGCCCCATGCGGAGCTGTGGGGTGTTGTGGGGAACCAGGGATGCTGGCCAGGCATGGTGGTGAGTGTGCCCCTCTCAATTCTCCAGAAGCAAGCAGCAAGACCAGATTACGGGCATGTACATCCACATGAACCTGCTGGGTGCCATCTTCCTCCTGGACGTCACCTTCCTCATCTCTGAGCGTTTGGCTTCCAGCAGCAGCGAGGCAGTCTGCAGAGCTGGGGGGCTGTTCCTGCACTTCTCTCTCCTGAGCTGCCTCACCTGGATGGGCATTGAGGGCTACAACCTCTACCGGCTTGTGATTGAAGTCTTCAATGCCTATCACGACCACTTCCTCCTCAAGCTCTGCCTGGTGGGCTGGGGTGAGCATGTGGGAGGCAGAGACACCCTGAGGGCACAGGGCACGGGGTGGAGGGGCACCCGGGTAGGTCTTTCCCACCGTATATGGTGCCTGGATGGGGATGGAGATGTAGCTGTGGGGGAGCAGATGTCTGAAAGCAGAGAGGTCTCTCTGTCAAGAGACTCGGTGGAGAAGGAGACTTGATGGCTGAGACAGAAGCAGGTGCTAGAGCAAGGGTGGGTCACTGCTTGGGGTCTTTAAATAGTAATGAGATCCTTTCTTTCTGAAAGAAACATTCAGGACAGCCCAGAGAGATGGGCTTGATACAGGAAGCACTCACGCATCTCTGCTGTGCTTTGGGCAGGAGGCCACAGTAGGAAGATCTCGTGATCTTTTGTGGCCTAAAATTCCATGGCCCTGGGAGACCCTTGGCTGGGGTCGGTGCAGCACAGCTCAGTTCTGGGCCAGGGCTTATGTCAGGCATCCTTGTTGCGTGCTCCATCCTCAGTTCCCCCTTGGGAGGGAGAATGTTGTTTTGTACTCTGGGGAGAAAGGGTCAACGAGTCCTTCCAGAAGGTCCAAGGGCCAGGGACTAGGGCGGCTGCTTCACTCTGTTCTTGCCACCCAGGACTCCCCTTCTTCTGCGTGATGCTGATCTTCCTGGCTAGCTGGACTAACTATGGCCCCTTCTCCATTCCTGTCTATGAGTCTGTTGGTGGCAAATCCACCAATGCAACCATGTAAGTCATGGGCAATGGGTCGTCTGGTCCCTGGTCTTAGATAGTCAAGTGGCTAAACCTACACCATGTCCTACAGGCTTTCCTTAGCCCGCCTGTGGCTTTTCTGGGACTTTGTGCAGGGTGGTGGTGGGGAGTCCCCCCTCCCTGTTTAACTAAGCTGGGCGCTGGGTTTGCACCACACCTTAGTTCTCCCCCAGACCCTCCAACTCATGTCCCTGTGGGGTGTCACAGCATAACCCTCTGCCCTTTCTCCTTCCTCCAGATGCTGGATCACGAGTCCCCTGATCCATAACATCGTGAACCTGGGTTTCTTCAGCCTGGTGTTCCTCTTTAACTCGGTCATGCTGGGGGCCATGGTCCGGGAGATCCTCCGGCCAAACAAGAAAGGCCACAAGCTCAAGCATGTCCTAGCACTCTTTGGGCTGAGCATCCTGCTGGGCATCCCCTGGGCACTGGTTTTCTTCTCCTTCACCTCTGGTGTCTTCCGCCTCGTCTCCCTCTACATTTTCACCATCATCAACTCCCTCCAAGGTGAGCCTGGGACGCCGGGATCCTCTGAAGGGCACCAGGGCTTTCACGGGATATTGGTGGGGTGGTGACAGGGTACAGAGAAGCTGTCCCTGGCAGGCTCGCTTTCGGCTGCTGTTGGTTCGATGGGGTTCACCCACCCTTCCTTCCTCCTCTCACAGGTTTCCTCATCTTCCTCTGGTACTGGACCATGGTCCTTCAGGCGAGAAAGTCCCCTGACACGCAGAGCAGTTCCGACAACGTCAAACTGCAGCCCAACAGCAGCCAGAGCCACCTCGGCTGAGCCCTGGGATGGTCATGCTGCACCGTGCTGGGGCTCCCCACGCGGTGGACGGCAGTGAGAAGGACCAACATCATCTGCTTTGCTACCGCACCTGCCTCGTAGGGCTGCTAGGAGCCCAGGGACCCACAGTGGGACTGGCTGCCCCTTGCCTCTGCTGGCCCCCCTTCCCTAATCTTCCCACCCCACCACGTCCCACCAGGCAGCGGCACATCCCTCGGCTTGGCATCCTTGGGGCAGGAGGGAGGGATGCTTGCCCGGGCAGCGAGGGCTGCGGAAAGTGGAGGGGGCAGGGACAGGGTCCCCAGTGCCTCTGGACATCCCCTCCTGTGCCCCGAGGCCAGGGAGGATGGGTGAGAAAGGCTCCATCTTCAGCCCTTACTGGTGGTCACCAAGAGGGTCCTTCTCCAGTGAAGATAGAATAACGCTGCCCCCGTGACACCCTTTAGCAGCTGAAATAATGTATTTTTGTTATTTTGTTGGATGTATATTTTTGGATGTTGTAGAAATTGAATAAGCACACCCACACACTAGACTTGTGCCCATTAAAGTTCTTCCTGCTCGGAGTGTGGCTCACTGGGTGTCTCTGCTGCATGCGTTGGCGGGCTTTCTGATGGGATCCATCCCTTGGCCGCAGTTGTCCCATCCCTGAGGCAGGACCTGGCGTTTCACCCTGTAGGATCCTGCTGAGCTGCAACCAGTAACGGTGCACCCAGCAGAGCACCAGCAGCCTGGTGCTGTAGGGATCTGGCTGATGGAGGGGGGATGCTGTGGCTCAGGGGAGTCTCTGGGGATTGTCACTACCCACCAAAGAGGGAGGCTAGTGGAAGACAGGAATCTGAAGACAGAGGCTTCGCAGGATGGGAATCGCCTCCCACGGTGGCTGTGGGGCCAGGCAGTGCTCCCTTATGGACAATGCTCCACTTGAGGCTCATCCCCTTCCACCCGGCTCCTAGCTCCTGGCTGGGGCAGGGGGACCTTCCTGGGGAGGGGATGTTTCATCCCCAGTGGCTCATGGTGATGCCTGGTGGCATGCCTGGTTTGGGAGAGGGAAGCTCCAACACGTCGCTGGGCTGGTGGGGTCCATTGGCCAAGGATTTGCCAGGATGGGGGGGAGAAGGGGGAAGAAAAAAGCCCTGAGTCACCGAGGGGAATTGGCCAAGGGGGAAATGACACACCTCTGATGGTTACCACTGTTGCTGCGAGCTGGGGAAGGTTGCTTGCCAACCCACAGGAAGGCGCAAGGGATTCACAGAAGCAAAATGAGGTCATGGCCGTTTCCTCAGGAGCAGCCCCAAGCCCTGGGGAAGCCTGGGGAGGAGCACAGCCACCAGGACAAGGGGGAGCAGACCATCATGGGATCACTAGAGGTGATCAGGATACCCCACAAAACAGCATGAACCTGCTCCAGGGCACCATCCTGCTGCTCCTGGTGGTGCCTGGTGAGTGGAGGGTGAGGGGGATGCGGGCATCCCTGTCTTGGAGTGTGTGTGGGCTGAGGGGGTACCTTTTCCCATCGGAAAGTGTTGACCCAAAGATTGTGGTGGAGTTTCACCCTGAAATGTGGCCAGGCCAGAAGGGAGAATGCCCCCTGGGATATGCAGAGAGCTGGCAGAGGTGAGTGGAGGTGGGGGGG